TGCAGTATGGAAGATGACAACAGTTAATGAAAATGACACAAACAAACTTTGCAATATTGTAATATTTGTTAAAATACTGACTTGTTAAATTACCTTTAATCCTAGTTCTTGTGGATATTGTTGTTCCGTATTGCTAAAATGCTTAAAATGTTGTTAGGCAACCTTTTCTTTCTTTGTGGGTAATGTGTTGCACTCTAGAAGTATTTTATTTAAATTATTAAAAAGTTTTAAAGTTATGGATAAAATACTGTTTTATCCATTTATTTACTACATTTTATTCGCCTTATTAATTTTATTGTTTGAAACATTATGTGTAGTTATTTTTGTTCAGGCGTAGACTTAGAGCTGTGACTGTTTTTGTACCGGAAGCAGCGTCAGTTGTAAAGTTGTAACTAGAAGAAGAAACTATGTAATGTTTTTTCTATGCACTAATGCCCGGCTGCTGCACAGAGAACAATTCCAAGAAACTACACACAGAGTGGGTCAAATCTAGTTGCTGAAACTAAAGTAGAACTTATGTCTGTTTTATGAGTGCAACACAATTACTGAATTAAAATACTTAAATAAATTTCAATCACTGTTACCTTGTTCCGTTATAGACTGAAGCTAAATTCATGTTGCTATTTATGCGTTTTTCTGCTTTGCTGTTCAACTTTTCCTTCATTGCAGTTGACCTGCCCTAGAACTGTTTGTTCCGTTCACCTAGATACTTTATACAGAACGCTGCCAAAATAAAAACCTAGAGTTTTCACAGCAGTTACAAGAAACAAAGTAACTACATTCAATTGACCTTTACACAGTGTTTTATAAACCACAGTTCTCAGCTCAGCACACTTAGAGTTGCTTGTTTCAACTTCTTTTTGGTCTGTTTTGGAACAGGTAAGACTTTTTAATATGCAAAAGGAAAATAAAATTAACTGGGGAAAAAATAGTATTTTTGAATAGAATACACTGCAGCAAAAAAAAAAATTGTGTGTTTATTGAGTAATAAAAAATATTTAAAGAATATTCACAGACAGTAATGTGGTGGAAGTGTGTGAGTGTTTCTTGAAATCAAAGATCTGTGGATCTCCAAAGCTGAATTTGTTGATTAATTGCTGGGAATCAGAATTCTGGAAACCAAAAATGTTGTAGCAACCTCACAAGGTGACATCAAAATTGTTGGGAATCAGAACTCGCTTTGACGTTTGTCTTATTTAATTATTATGAATTGTAATCCATATTTTATTATTAATTAATAAAGCCAAGCTCAGTCTCTAATCAAGGAATGAAGAAACTTTACACACAAGGAATTATTACTGACATGCTGATTTCTAGTCAAGTCTGAAAATGTATTAACCAAATAGCCAAACTTTACAGCTGAATTGTTATGTGAATAACGTCTTTCTTTAAGTACTGGCATTTTTACTTTACTACTGTTGAGACAAAAGGAATATATCGGATAATAACATGTAATAAAATAAAAATAACAAATATGCTCTAACTCAAAAATGTGATAGTAGCTTATGCTAACACATGCAAAAATAAAAAATAACTGAACAAACATACATATATAAAAATGTACATAAAAGTTCAAATGCATGTATGAATTAAATGTGTCATTGTTTCAATAAATATTTAAATGTATTTAATACATGGATAAGTAATATTCACAATATGTTTAAACAATATTTAACCATTAAGTCTGACTTGTATTCAATTCAGATTAAAGTCATGTGTTAGCAGCAGATCCTGAATTTATTTTATCCGTCAGTCAGACCCCCTAAATTCAATGGGTGACTATGTTAAAATGTTAAAATGAATGGTTGTGTAAACAGATATTTACCCATGTATTAAATACATTTACATATTTTTGAAACAATCCCCCATTTAATTCATACCTGCATTTGAACTTTAATGTACATTTTTATATATGTATCTCTGATCAGCTATTTTTTTTATTTTTAATTTGTTAGCATAACCCTTTCGGTAACCTTTATTTGATGGACATGACAACGTGGCATTAACCAAGAATCGTCATCTGTCATAAATATGTCATAATAATTAATTATCAAAATGTACAATGTTATGTATCTTTGTGTATTATTACATTACAAAATTTGGATAATTAATTGGTTAATGTCAAGTTGCCATTACAAAGACATTTTAAATAATGTCAACTTTGCATGAAAAGTGTCATTATTTACTGAATGACATTTAATGAGAACCGTCATAAATATTCATGAAAACTCCTTAATGTTTATGGCAATGTCATGTCAGTTTTATGCACACACCTTCAAATAGTGTATAACTTTGTTATATGTTGTATATAAATAAGTCATAAAAATAACAAAAATGTCATGCTTTATGTAAAAAACAGTTAATTCCTTTTCTATCTTTTTGCTTCTGACTACAGCGATGCTGCCTGATTCAACTTCAGCTATTCTTCTCCTAAGCGTCCTCCTTGTTCACTCCTCTGTTCTGTCCTGTCGGATCGGGACCCAAACAGAGTGTGATGCTGCTCCTTTTGTACCAGGCCACAATCTGGTGGGGGAAGGTTTTGATATAGTTACACTGGAGAGGAAAAGAGCTCACGTGATTGATGTGAGAACTTACCTGAGCCCCAACAAAACCTGTGTTCTCTGCACCAATCCTCTTCAAAACGATGCCCTCCAAAAAGTAATTTAAGAACCTTGTATTGCCTTGTTGCTGAAAATGTGCTCTATAAATGAAATTAACTTTACCTTTAAGATGTATAAATCAACAGCTGCACGTCTAACTTGATAGATTAACAATAATGTGACTTTTCTTCATTTTAAGCTTCCATCTTCTGTTGTGGACTTCCATGCCATCCCTCGATGTAATCCTGAAATACACAACAGTTTTCATACTTCTGCTAGGTAGAGTATTTAAACGGCATTGTCAACACTGTAAACATTGAATCACATAATTACACTAATTACAAGATTTTTTTTTTCATGTTACAATTACATGTTCCAATCACAAGTATATGTTTATTTTACCTTTATGAGGGAGACTAACACATAGTGCATAATTCTGAAGAAGCAAAATATGAAAAATTTAATGTACGTTTATGCTGATACTCTGATGCTTATAAATATATTCAAGTGCAACCAGTTGACTTGAATGGTCACCAATAGAATTATTACACACATTTTTAAAGCCTTTATTTCTGTTAATTATGATGATTTTCAATTTACAAGTATAGTAATGCAAACCTAACATTGAAAATTGGTGTGGGACCCGAGTGGTAATATTGATTTAGTTAAAACTGTAGCAAATGTGAGCAGGGTTTTAAAAAATTAGCCTGTTAAGATTGACAATAATTTACTAAAAAATAAGTACAAAAAAAAAAAAATGCAGCGCAACGTTATGTAGCAGAGTCAATAAAAAAATGTCTGTGGAAGGAAGTTGGAATGGAGTCTTAGATAAGGGACGAGGGCGTGGC